GGGCAGCAGGGATGGCTTCCAGGATCCAGGGAGTTATCACAGCAAGGGGTGGGAAGAGGCAGCAGCTGGGGCAGTTGGAGAGCCAGGGAGGGTGAAGGGCTCCAGGCCATGCAGGAGCCAGTCCCAAGTGCTCAGCTCCTGCTGACATTGTTGGATGCCGAGTCAGAGGCGCTCCCCCCATCCGCCCCACTCAAGGGGCCCTTGTTTCCAGGGAGGAGATGATTCATGTGCGTGGAGTGGCCCCTTAGCAAATCTTCCACTGTTACAGGATGTTGCCAGAGCTCAAGTGTGATCATTAATGGTTGGCTTTTCCCTAAAACCCCTCCGGCCAAGTTGTTCCATAGCAGTACAGACTGGGAGGAGGAGGTGCTTTCCAGGCTGGTGTTCCTGGCCTCAGCAGCCCATCCTGGTTTGCCCCACACCCAGCAGGTGACGGCTGGCAGGGAAGCAGAGCTGGATGGCAGGGGTGCCCTGCTCAGCTCTGCCGTCTCTGGGGGCTGAATGCTGCCCCTCTCCTGCCCACTCGGCAGGGCACTCCTGCCCTCAGCAGAGGAGCAGTGGCCACAGGCAGGGTGCAGGCAGTGCTCTGTCCTCCTGTCTCCCGCACAAAGGAACAATTCTGGGAGCACCATGACGCCCCAAGCAAGGCACTTCCTCCCTGGCTGTGCACCTGCCTCCTCCCTGTTGGAAAGAAAACCTCCATGGGAATGGGAACAGGAACTGCCCTGGGAGCTCAGCAAAGAGCTCAGGAGGCCATGGGCTTCCTCAAAGAGCAGCAGCAGGGGACTGCTGGTTCCGCAGGGATGGGAAGTAGCATGTTGGGGCTGGAGGGGGCTGTCAGCACCCACTTTGGGCAACACCCCCCTGGTGATGCCTGTGCTGGGGCAGGCAGGGAGGCATGTCCTGGCACTGGGTGTCTCTTGCAGGTGGCTCAACATCAGCCCTTGGAGAGGTCAGCATGGTTTGTGTGCTACAAACAGCTCCTTTGGTAGCGCTGGGTGTGTTCGTCCCACAGGGACATCCTTGCAGGGCTCTTCCTGGGCTGTCAGTGGGTGCTGGGATAGACCCTTCCTCAGCCCACACCCCACCTATTTATGGCATCCCAGGAGCTATAAACACTTGTTTACTGCCAGTGGCAGCTGTAAGGAGCCCTGTGCAGGCAGGCAGAGCGTCCCAGGGCCCTGCCTATGCCAACAGGAAGGATTTATTTGTGCTTGGTTTTTATTTTAGCTACAAACAATGGCTGTTACTCCCAGCATCCGATTTCCCCCCAGGCCCCCTCAACCCCGGCCATCACCTGGTGTGGGAGGAAGCGTGGCCAGGGGTAGGTCCCTGTGCACCTCCCACTGCATTACAGTGGTGTGATTCAGCATCTCCTCCAGCATCGCTCCTCCTCGGGGTTCTCTCAGGCTGCAGACTGGCTTTTCTTGGGATGAAAACTCCATGTGATCGTCTTATCTCTCCCCGTGCAAAAGCTGAGTCTGTACACCAGGAAACTCCTGCTTTGGCTTGGCTGGAGACTCTTCCTCCTCCTCCTCTTCCTCCTCTCTGCAGGTTGCTGGAGCAAGACCTAATTTTTGCTTCTGTGATGGAGCAGAGGCCAGGGAGGGGGCCACAGGCTCTGCAGATGCAGGCTGTGTCCAAACCCTTATCTCTGTGCTGTGAAAACAGGTCTCTGAGGAGGGGGAGCACTTGTGGAGTCTAAAAATAGTGCTGACCTGGGTGCAGGGCGGAAAGAGGTGGTGGGATGTTGGAGAGGATGCAGCTCCTCTGCCAGCACTGCCAGCTTGGTGCTGGTTCTAGGGCAGGAATTAGCAGCTGAGGAAATACTGCCCCATTGTCCTAAATGGCAGCAGAGTCCTGGTGCTGGTCCCCTGGCTCACCCTGTCCCAGCAAAGCTGCCCTGAGTTCCCCCAGCCCATCCAGCCCTCTTAGCTAATGTTAAAGCCATCTGTTGCCATGGCTCCCAGCCTTCTCAAGCCCAGAGATCTCATGGGCATCTCCCCATTCTGCTGTGGCAGTGGGACAGGCTGCAAACATGGAGAGGAGTGGGTTTCTGGGAGCGGAGGCTCCTTCAGGAGACATCCTGCAATGTCTGTGTCCAAAGCCTGAGCTCAGAGAAGTGGTGTGACCCCACATGATTTCAGCTGCAAGAGAAACCCCAGCAGAAAGCAGCAGGTGGGAGCCATTTGTCAGCACCAGGGGCAGGCGCAGGCTGGAGGTGTCCCCGAGCTCGGCGGGAGGGGGACAAGGTCCCTTTTCGGCCGCGTCACCTGCTCAGCGCCTGCGGCTGCTCTGATACCCAACCGCCTCCTCCTCCAGGAGCCCTTTGATGTCCTGCTGCCGCCTCTGCCCCCGGGCTCAGAGCCCCCGAGGCCGGAGCTGTGCACTGACACCAGCGCCCACTCTCAGCTCAGGATCCAGGTCCCTGCCAGCTGTGGCGTGGGCTCAGATGCCGTTTGTGCAGGGTCTGTGCTCACTCTCACCAGCTATTGTAGGAATGATGTTCTGGTCCTTGCTTGCCAGGCAACCTTGGGTTAGTCACATCACCCAGTGCTGCACCCCTGGAGCAATTTCCCCTTGCTTCCTGCAGGCACCCCATTGACCTTCTTTAGACTGGAAGCCTAAAGAGCATAGGAAATTAATTCCTTCCCTCCCTCCGCTCCCCCAGGCAGAGGCTCAGCTCAGCAGGCTGTGTACCCTCCTGGGATCACAGGCCTCTTTGACTGTCCCTTCCCTCCCCCTTGTATTTTGGAGGATGTTTAACAAGGGAGATGGAGGGGACAGCTCAGCTGGGGGAAACAAAGGCGCCTTCAGAGCTCGCTCCACGCCTGCCGTGCTGCGTGTGCCCGGCTCAGCGCCGGCGCTCAGGGCGGTGCTGATGAGCTCACCCGCCTGCCATGCCTGGCTTATCGGGCACCCCCTGGCTCTTGTGTGCTGTGGGGTCTCCTCACCCCCCTAAGAGCCTGCTTTGGCACTATTAATAGAAACCTGCCTGCCCTTCTGCCCCCAGCTGGCCCAGAGCCCTGACACAAGAGCTGGTGGCCGTGATGGCAGATGTCCTACATGTGGCAGGGGATGGGGATGCTGGTGAACATCCCTGCCTGGGCACCAGTGTGCTGTGTGAAGCCAGTGTAGGGAGTGTGTGTGGCCCCATGCCCTCTGTGGGAGCTCATGGCCAGGTGAGAGCCTGCTGAGCTGGGGCAGCAGGAATGTGGGTGACTCCCTGGATGGTTGCAAGTGCTGGGTGGACAGAGGATATATTGCTTTTTGTCCCAGCTGCTTCCTTGCTGGTCCCCTGCTTCTCCAAGCCCTGCAGTGGAGGATGTCTGAGAAGGCCTGGAGACCACTGTATCACTGAGCAGGAGCCTGCTCCCATCCTGCCTGTGCAGCACTCTGCAAACCTCCCAGGGAAGATCTGCCCCTCTTCCCTCCCTTCCTGCCTCTGCAGAGGGGCCATGGGAGCTGGGTGCTTACCCATGTACATCATGCCCTCTCCTTCCCCACGGTCCGGGGGATGCTTACAGCTCCCCTGCTGTACGCTTTTTCCTCCTGGAGCAGTGCTGAGGCTGCCTGTGACTACCTGTCCTGGTTTGGCCTGCCCTCGGGAGATGGGCACTGGCAAGGCTGCTCTGGCTGAAAGGGCTGAGGCTGCTGATTAGCTTGGCACTGGGGAGAGAGGAGGAAGCAGAAGGTCTGTGGAGATAGAAGCTGGGGAGGCAGGAAGAGACTTGTGAGCCGCATCCTGCCTTGCATCCTGGGAAGGTGACAGTTTGGGGCTGGACACACTGTCTCCTTGCCTGGGGGCTTGTCTTGGCTGGGCACTGATCTGCCTCAACCCACTCATGCTGGGCTCCTCTTCAGCCAAAACTCTTTGAATCACTAGTTGGTTTTACTTCACTGTCCCTGCCTTGGGCAGCAATGCCAGACTCGCTCCATACTCCTTACATGAGTATGGGGAATCCCATCAGCAACTCAGCAACCTTCCCTTCCCCTGGGGAATATACCCCATGCCAGCCCTCACTGCTGCCCATCTCTGCTCTGCTGAGGCTCTTCTGCTGGTAGAGCCTGGAGGGAAGCAATGGGGACAGGTACAGCCCAGGCAGGGTGTCTCTAATGCTCTGCTGCTGGGGCATATGCTCTCCCCTACTTGCAAGCCATCCCAATAAGTCAGCACATCTGAGCTGCCTCTGTGGTGACCCCTGGCTTCTCCTCCTGTCCCTGGAGACCCAAATCCAACTGTGTGCCAACCCAGCTGTGCTCTGAGAACTTTCAGTTACTGCCAAGGAGAAGGGATCCTGCACTGCAAGAAACTGCAGCTCCTTTTTCTGCCCTCTGTAGCCTTCAGAGCTCCAGGTTTGCTGGTGTCCCTGAGCTTGGCCTCTCCAGCTCAGGCCATTTCAGGTGCTGGATCCTGACGGAGCTGCCCTGGGGCCAGTGGAGCTGTGTGGGTGCATGGTCCCAGGCAGAACAGAGGCTTGGCTTTGGATCCAGCTCAGTTAGTTGTGTCTTATCCTGCTTTGAGGAGATAAGGTACAGGAAGAAACCTGGGATGAGGATGTTGATGCACATGCAGAAGTGAGGGAATATGTACATCCCCCAGCAGATGAGAGGCAAGGAGAACATCTCTGGGTGACACTGCCAGTTGGCTCTGGAGATGGCACCTGGCTTTCTTTTCCTTATTTTCCCTCTCTGACCTGCCAGCAAAGGGGCACCAGCAGCAACCATACATGGTGAGGCAGACAGGGGTGTAGTTTCATCTGCATGGAAAAAAATGTGTGCTAAGCCCTTTGACAGAGGTCCAGTAGCCTGTGGAGCTGGTGTTTCCATTCACAGACTGCATCCTGGAGTCTGCATGCAGGTGGAAGAGCTTGTGCATGGAAAGAGCACGTGTGCACTTAACTGGGAAAAACCCTCATCCTGGTCATACTTCTGCCTTGTCTTAATGCCAGCACCCTGATATATCCCCTTGCTGATGGGCTTTTTCCTGCTCTCCCCAGTGCTAGACCAGCTCCTGCCAGAGCTCAGCGTCTTGCTCAAGCTGCTGGACCATGAGTACCTGAGTGCCACCACGCAGGAGAAGAAGCTGGCTGTCTCCACCATCCTGCAGAAACTACAGCCACCTGCAGGTCTGTGTCCCTGTGCTGTGGTGCCCCGTGGCTGTTCCCAGGGGCAGTGGGTGTCCGTAGCAGCTGCCCTGGGAGGTCCTGACCACAACCCCAGCAGGGCAGGGAAAATTTTCTGCAGGGTGGGGATGAGCCCAGCGCCTGCTCAGCACCCTCAAGGGCACTTTGCTCCCTGTTTTCACTTCCCAGCTCCTCCCTGCCCCAGGAGTGGGGCTTGGCATCAGCCCTGCCGTGGCTGCAGGGGGGCTGCTCCCTGCGGAAACACCGCTCTGCAGAGCCCTTCCTGCCACAGTTTCTGCTGAGCGCAGGGGTTTCCACGGGAAGGACAGGAGGATTGTGCACCTGGGGCTTCACAGCCTTCCCCCCTTCCTGTTCTCCTGGTGAGGCAGCAGCATCCCTTGGGGCTCCTCCACTCCCTGGGTGCCTGCACTGGTGGAGTGCCTGTGGCTTGTGTCCTTGGGCTGGTGTTTGTGGGGAGGAGGGTGCTGGTGCTTGCCCCGGCCACCCTGCCTGCCCCAGGCTCAGAGCATCCCCCTTGTTTCCAGGGAAGGACGTGGACTACATGTATGTCAACACAGCATCCCTGAGCAATGGCACCAGCTTTGTGGAGTCTCTCTTTGAGGAGTTTGGTAAGTGTAGCTGACCTGGAGTGATGGCCCAGGGAGTCATGCTGGGTGGATGCAGTGCTGGTCCTGGGGTTCCTGTTAAGAGTCCCTTCCCTCCAGGAAAGGAGAGTGAAAGCTGCATCCTTGTGTCCAGGGTGGTCATCATCATCCCAGGCTCTTGCTCCCACTCCCCTCTAGCTGTCTGGGGGCTGACCAGAGAATCCATGCACCAGCTGTGTTTACCATCTCCCAGCCCCTTCCCAGTGAAAGGCTGTGGGTGATTGCCTTGGGGATCCCTAGAGGGCACAGCTGGGGAGGCCAGGTCTCTCTTCCTGCTCCCTTCACCCTCTCCATTTGCCCTGGGCAGACTGTAACCTGCAGGAACTCCAGGACATGCAGGAGGAGGAGGGCGATGCCAGCGATGGTGTTGGCTTGGAGCTGGCAAGGAGCCAAACAGCAAAACCTGTAAGTCCCTGGGTGCCCCGCCTGCAAGGTCTGCTCTGCACCTGCACGGGGAAGTGGTGGTGGCCAGGGCTGCGATTCACGACCCTCTCCACTGCCAAGATAATGCTGTGGTGTTTCTCCTGTAGGTTCCTGTGGATCCTGCTCCACCACTGCCCACCACTCCCCCACCTGAGGATTACTATGAGGAAGCCCTTCCTCTGGGCCCTGGCAAGGCCCCCGAGTACATCACCTCCCGCAGTAAGTCCTGCTCCATGCTGAGGCAGTAGGAGGGTAGAGGAAGCCCCACAAGCTGCCCACTGCATCCCCACAACTGCCTGCCCCCCTGGGAAAACAAGCAGCCCTTGGTGGGCTTGACAGCTCATCTTGGGGAAGGAATCGTCACTGCTCCCACCAGCATAGCTCCTGTCCCACTCCCTTCCCATCCCACTGCACTGGTATTGCAAGGAATTGTTTGCTTCAGCTCCACTGGGAATGGGGTGGTGGGGAGAGGTCAGAGCCACGGGGGACTGAGATGACCTGGGAGGGTGTGCTGGGTTCTGCCCCAGCTCACAGGTTCACTGCTCGGAGTATCCATGGTGGGAAATCAGTGTGACAGCCCCAGCTCCCTCTGCTTCCTCTTGCAGACAGCTCCAGCCCCCCCAACTCCATCGAGGATGGCTATTACGAGGATGCAGACAGCAACTACCCTGTCACCAGGATAAACGGGGAGCAAAAAAATTCCTGTAGGTATCTGGGTGCCCTCGACAGGGAGGGGAGAGCTTTGACAAATCCAGCCCCGAGATGGGGCTTGAGAACTGGTGAGGTTGAGGCTGAAGAACCACTCACATGTTGGAGACTGCTGGGCAAAAAGCAAGGAGCATGAACTGCTGTTTGTCACACAAACCAGAGCCCTCGTGCTGATGCAATTGGTGCTGTGTCTGTCACCAGCACTGGGAGGGATGTCCCTGCCTGTGCAGCTCTTGTGCCCTGCGTGAGGAGCCTCTGCCATGGCAGAGGAGGGTTGGGGAAGGACAGCCCAACTCCTCTGTGCCCTGCGTGGGAGGTGTGGGGCAGAAGGTCCACGTCAGCCTCCACTGCAGGTAGAATTTTAATCCAGGCTTTCAAAGTCTGAGCCTCTGAAAGAAATAATCCAGCCAAGGGGTTTGGATAGATGCACCTGGGACTGGCACTTGGTCCACAAGCATCCTGCCAGGATTCAAAGGGAAATGGAGATGGCTGGGGCCAAACGCTGCTGTTTCCAGAAGTTGACATGGAGTCCATCTATCCCAGCACCCAGCCCAGGCTCTGTGCTGGAGTCCACAGGGCACAGGGAGCCCTGGCAGTGCCCTGGCAGTGAGGGTACCTGGCAGGCAGGGCCCCAGAGTCCCTTCTGGGGTGACTCCCCTGCTTCCTTCCAGACAATGACTCGGATGCCATGAGCAGCTCTTACGAGTCGTATGACGAGGAGGAGGAGGAGGGGAAGAGCCAGCAGCTGACACACCAGTGGCCATCAGAGGAAGCCTCCATGAACCTGGTGAAGGATTGCAGGATTTGTGCTTTCCTGTTGCGGAAGAAGCGCTTCGGACAGTGGGCCAAGCAACTCACCATCATACGGGACAGCAAGCTGCTGGTGAGCCTGAGCTGGTGGGGGACAGAAACCCCCTTGGTGGGTTATGAGGGTGGTTGAGCTGAAGAAAAATAGCACTTTCCAAGCCGAGACCCTTCCACAAGGCTGCCACTGCCCTGCAGCACATGCAGCGGGCTGCCCTCACTTCCCTTGGAGGGCTCAGATTTTTGGGACACCATGGAGTGGGAGGGCACCCTGCAGGCATCCGCCAGTGAGGCTGTTGCATAGCCTGAGCCACCTCCATCTGTGCCACCTGTGAGGGACCAGGAGGGACCCCCAGCATGACAGACGGACAGACAGGTTTTAGCTGAGCCCTGAGCAGTTCTCTTTGCTTCCCCTAGTGCTACAAAAGCTCCAAGGACCGGCAGCCACATGTGGAGGTGCCCCTGGGCACCTGCAACGTCATTTACGTCCCCAAGGATGGGCGGCGCAAGAAGCACGAGCTGCGGTTCTCGCTGCCGGGGGCCGAGGCGCTGGTGCTGGCTGTGCAGAGCAAGGAGCAGGCTGAGGAGTGGCTGAAGGTACCACGGCTGCCCCCTGCTTCTCCCCAGGGGCCACTGACTCCCCTTGGCATCATCCCTGGCTGAGGTGGGGAGGGGGTTACCCTGGGAAAGGTCTTGCCTCCCTGGAACTGGAAGGGGGCTTTGCTCCTGTCTCTTATCGGCTGGAGGGGCTGACCGGCTGCTTCCCAGGGCCTGGGCGTCTCCAGCACTGATAGCCCCCGCGGGTGGGGATGTTTGCTCTCCCCCTCCTCTTCCCTGTGGCCCTTTCCTGCCTTTGTTCAGGGGCGGGAAGCGGGGGCTGCGGGGAAGGGGCCGAGGGTGGGAAAGGAGCCTCTGAGCACACCACAAACCCAGCTGTTACCCCAAATGTGGGAGAACAGGGTTATTTTACACAGCCAGGACAAGTCACGCTGTGTCTGCCTGTAAAACAAGGGGGCTCTCTGAGTGTCCTGTGCTGGCACAATGACTCTGGTTTGGGACCCAAGTCTCTCACCTCTGACATTTCCAAAATCTCTGACAAAATCCACAAAACTGGTTGCAGTTTCGAAGGGGCCAAAGTGCGTGCAATCCCACAGGCAAGCCAGGCTTGAGCCCTGAGCAGGGCTCACTGCCCTGTACCGTGGAGACCAGGATCTAACCCCGCAGTTCAGCCTGGCTCTGGCAGTGAAGGAGTTGAGCCAGGGAGGGCAGCCCTGGCCCTCGGGTCCATTTTAAGTGACTGCTGGGGCTGTCTCTGCAGGTGATAAAGGAAGCCAGCAGCCCAGCAGCGGGCGGGATGGAAGCCCCCACCTCCCCAGTGATGCCGTGCAAGATGGACCTGGATAAGGTGATTTTTTCTAAGGGCCCTACCAAGGTGTCTCGTGGGGCTTCTACAGCCAAGCCTGGGGAACACGGGGCTGGGGGAGCCCCAAACTCCTGGGGCTGCACAAGGAACCCTTCCCATTCTCACAGCAACTCTGCAGGGCTTCCCATGCTGGGGAAGGGGAGCAAGAATGGGGCTTGGGAACATCCCAGCCCTGTGAAGGGGGGTGAAAGGCTAACAGTGGCCACTGCTGGGAGCTGCACAAGGGGCACTGCTGACAGGGTTCTGCTCCACTCGCCCCACAGCGGCTGTCTCAGGAGAAGCACACCTCGGACTCGGACAGCGTGGCCACGGGTGACACTGCCTCCTCCACGGCCCGCAGGGAGCACAGCGAGCACGGTACAGCCCCTGACCCAGCCAGGGGCACCACAGCTGGGCAGCACCCTCTCCAGCGAGAGGGGAGGCCAGCACATGCACCAGGAGCACACAGCTACCCTGTCCTTTCCTTCCAGGGAAAGGCAAAAAGAGCGGCTTGGCTGACCTGAAGGGCTCCATGAGCCGAGCAGCAGGGAAAAAGATCACCAGGATCATCAGCTTCTCCAAGAAGAAGCCTTCTCCTGAGGACACACAGACCTCCTCCACTGAAGAGGACATCCCCTGCTGCGGTTCGTGTGGGCTGGGGGCAAAGATGGGGCTTGGCTCAAGTGGGAGTGGGAGCAGTGGGGAGTGACATCCTTTCCCTCAGAATGGCTGTAGGTAAATGGATAGTGGGGTGGGGACAAGTCACCAATCTGCTGGAGGGCTGTGACAGTGCCACAGGCTGTGAAATGCTGCCCAGTCCTGCTGTGCAAATTCCTGTGGTGAGTGGGGAAGGGGTGAGTGGTCACCCACGTCCCAGAGAACAGGCTTGTGGGACTGTGTGGTACCAAGCTGGCACCTCAGCTGGGTCCAGGGTGTCCCAGCTGCTCCTCTGTGAGGAAACTGAGGCACAGAAGGACTGAATGAGAAGGGAGCCATGCTGTAACCTCTGGGCAGCTAAGTCTCATTAAAGCCTGCCTGAGGTCCAGCCAAGCAGGCACTGATACCCTTCCCTCCCCCTGCCACCCCCAGGCTACCTCAGTGTCCTGGTTAACCAGTGCTGGAAGGAGCGCTGGTGTCGCCTCAAGGGCAACACCCTCTACTTCCACAAGGACCGCACCGACCTACGGACCCACGTGAATGCCATCGTGCTGCGGGGCTGCGAGGTGGTCCCTGGGCTGGGCCCCAAACACCCCTTTGCCTTCCGCATCCTGCGCAACGGGCAGGAGGTGACTGCGCTGGAGGTGAGTGACAGCGGGGCGGGCAGGGTGTGCCAGGCCCGTGAGGAGGGGAGTGCCAAGCTGGGGGAGCATCCCTTGTGATGATCAACACTCCCATGCAAGCAGTGCCTTGTTTTCCACTCTCCTGCATGTTAAGGAAGCTCAGGGCATCATCTGGGTGAGCCTGGAGCAGCCACGTGGGTACTTGCAGGCTGGAGCAGGGAGGAGGCTGCCAGGGCTGAAGCAGGCAGGTTGCAGGGGGTGGCTGGAGGTTTGGCATTCCTGCATGTGCATGTGGGCTTTCTCTTGAACCCTCCCAAGTCTTGCATGCACTTTTTGTGTGTATAGGATGATTCGTACAAAGCAAGGCTTTGCATCAGGAGGCAGGAGCGAGGGCAAGGGTCTGGGAGCTGAGGATGCACCACAACCCTTTCTCTCTCCTGCAGGCAAGCTGCTCCGAAGACCTGGGTCGCTGGCTGGGTCTCCTCTTGGTGGAGACAGGCTCCAAGACAGCACCAGAGGCCTTGCACTATGACTACGTGGATGTGGAGACGATTGCCAACATAGTGACGGCTGTGAGGCACTCCTACCTGTAAGGCTGCCCCCCTGCTTTGCCTGGGGCTGAGTGTTGGGCTGGGGATAGTGATCCTTAGCCCTGTGGGCTCCCTAGAAAGAGCATAGGCTGGGATGTGGTTTATGCTGTCATCTTGGGGACAGCCAATGTCCCAGGGGTTGTTTCCCTTGGGCAGGATAGAAAGCAGAAAGTGTTTCATCAAAGCTGATGAAAGACTTGAGATGGATAGGGTAGGGTAGAGTGCTCTAAGTGAAGCTGGGAGAGCAATGCAGGAACCCCTCTGAGATAGAAGGGCTACCTGAAGGGCTGGCAAGGATGTCCTGGAAAGGAAGAGCACATCCCTCCTTCTGCAGGTGGGCCAGTTCCTCCCAGGATCACCAGCCAGACTCCTCCCGTGTGGTGTACGATGATGTCCCGTATGAGAAGGTTCAGGTGAGCACGACTTCATGTCTCTCCCTCTCCCACTGCTGAAAGCGCCCCGGGAGCCTTGGCCAGGCTGTGGTGGCCCCATGGGTGTTTCAGAACGCTCTCCCTCCCATCCCTACACAGGCCGAGGAGGATCCCGGGCGGCCAGCAGGAGCCCAGGTGAAGCGCCACGCCTCCTCCTGCAGCGAGAAGTCACGGCGGGTGGACCCACAAGTGAAAGTGAAGAGGCACGCCTCGAGTGAGTGGGGGTCCTCAGCCACAAACCCCCCAGGGGGACCCTGGCCAGTGTGGGAGGGGGCTGTTTCCCAGAGGGGTCTGCAGCCAGGCTGGGGCTGGCTGACCCCAGCACACAGGTGATGGGCTTTGCCGTGCCAGCTCAGCTGGACTGTGGATGACATTGGTGCGTTCGGGGTCACAGCCTTCACTATGGACTCCCCTTGTGCGTGCAGGTGCCAACCAGTACAGGTATGGGAAGAACCGGGCCGAGGAGGATGCACGGCGATTCCTGACAGAGAAGGAGAAGCTGGAGAAGGAGAAGGCATCGATCCGCAGCGAGCTGATGTTGCTGCGGAAAGAGAAGCGAGAGCTGCGGGAAGCCATGAAGGGCAGCACGGGTAGGTTGGTGCCACCCGAGCACTGTGGCTGCTCAAAGGCACTCGGGCACAGCGGGGAGGTGCAGAGCTGGGGTGGCACAGGGACAACGTGGCTGTGAGCCGGGCTGGCTGCAGCACACTGCTGGGCTGGCAGCCCCATCTAGTGTCCCCATCCAGGAGCATGGGTGGATTCTCCATCCCCGTAGCCTCATCCCCAGGCCAAGGCACTGAGCTGCGAGCATTGTGCCAGCAGGGATAAAGCTGCAGGAGCTGGAGCAGCGGGTGGCCGCGCTGGAGGAGCAGTGCCGGCAGAAGGAGGAGCGCCGCGTTGATCTGGAGCTCAAGCTGACCGAAGTAAAGGAGCAGCTGAAGCAGTCGCTGGCAGGAGGGCCGGCCCTGGGGCTGGCCGTGACCACCAAGGCTGAGAATGGGGTACACATCCCTTTTCCTCTCTCTATCACAGCACTCGGGGAAGAGGGGATATCCCTGCGGCTTTGTCCCATTGTGGACAGAAGGGTGTCACTTAGGTTTGGCCACAGCAGTCCTGACCTCATGACAGTCTGTGCTTTTTTTTTTTTATCCAGTTGTCCTTGCTTTCTGGGTCTCCTAAACCCTTCTCCTTCTTGCTCCCTCCTTTCCACAGGAAGCTACAAACAAGCCAAATGGGAGCCCCCCTGAGCACTTGGTCCCTGTTAACTGTGCAGCTGAGCTGAGGAAGAGAAGTCCCTCCATCATCCCTGCCAACAAGGGAAACGTGCTGCGGAAGGCCAAGGTCCTGCTTTACTCTCCCTCTCCTCCCTGGCCCCACAGGAATTCTCAGTCTATGTCCCATCCCCCTTGCTTTGGGGACTGGGAATGCTCCCTACCCCAAAGCTGCCAGGGTGCCCTGCAGGCAGGATGACTCAGTGCAGCACACTCGCTGCTGGCATGGGCCTGGATTGAAGGGAAATTTGGGAAGTGCAGGGCTGGGTGAGCACTGGGAAAGCATTGCCTCTACAGTGCCCAGGGCAGCAGCAGCAACCCCAGCACTTGAAAATGCTGGGATGTTCTAAAGCCCCCAGTAGAGAGAGATGTCTTTGAGGGGCTCTGTGTTTGCTTCTCCAGCAATGTCTCCTCATCCCCTGCTTTTATTTTATCTTTCTCTGCAGGAATGGGAAAAGAAGCAGACTTAAGCCAGCCTGCCAAGCCCCTGATGGACACTGGGGCTCAAGGAGGAGCTACACGCCCCCTTTCTCCAAGACACTGGGAGGGTGCTGGGAAGGCATGGTGGGAAGAGACATTCTCCCAGACCCCACCACTGTGGCACCATCTGCCTCATGGGCAACACTACAAACCAAGGGGAAAGGGGCGGGAGGGGGATTTGGGAGGTGGGTGGGGAAAGGGAGAGTCCCTTGTGGATCAGGGTCACATACTACTGGGAAACCCATCTCTAGGGGGAGCCTGCCCCAGGGCCGGGAGTTCAACACAAGGTGTGTGTGCCCGTGGTGGTGCATAAGGAAGGAGGGGAGAGCCTGGGAGCTGGCAGTTGGCACTGCCCAGCAGGCGCTCTGATTTATCAGGATCAGCGTGTGTCCAGGCTAACACTTCCCAAAGCAACCAAGGACTCATTGGGGATTTTTAGCTCCCTCAGTATTGGGATTCATGAGCTGCTCAGGACCAGACACTTCAGAGATGCTGATCATTCACCCTGCTCACTGCTCCCAGCTCTGCAGGGTCTCATCTCAGGGTTCCTCATGTCTCGAGCTTGCTGTGCCTCAACCAAGTGCCTTCATCCAATATTTCCTTCTTGTCTTCCACGTGGTAAGAGTGAGGGCATACTGCCTTCCCTTGGGAATGAGGGAATCTCAAGTGTCAGCATTTGAAAGCAAATTAACAGTGGACACCTCTCACCCTTGCTAAATAGCTTAGAAGTGCTGCAGAGGGCTGAGGCTGGAGGCAGCCCTGCTCTCTGCCCTAGTCCCATGGCTTTCAGGGGAGTGGGGAAGAGGGCAGGGCCGTGTCCTGGCCAACACTGCATTCACACTATTGCTGCTGCAGTCAGACACAGGTTGCCAAGGCATGTGGTCAAAATGGAGCGAAGGAAGTTTAAATTAAATAAAAAAAAAAACCAGAAGTGCTATCAAATGGGGGGATTGGAACAGAACAGAGAAAGAGAAGAAGGTCATTCAGCACAGGCAGAAACAAGGGACAGGAATGAAAAGGAAAGGCCCAGGCTTTTACGCTGGGAACAAGGGAGTTGGACCATCACCCACTCATGCTGTCACTGCCACAATTAACCTCTGGAGCTCGCTCTTTCAAAGCCCTGTGTTAGTAACTAGGTAAGCAGCTTTCAATAAAAACACTGGCACCGGCCCACTAGTTCCTCTGGCTGAGGGAGTGTGGCAGGAAAGCTACTCCTGCTCACAGGGAAATGGGCCAGGGTGGGTCTGGGGTGGGCTCAGCACCTCTGTAACAGCTTGGATGGGCAGGTTGGGGGAATCTTGTGCAGGGATTAGTGATTGCTGTTAGTTCAGAACCCTGTGCTCAGCTGCCTGCTGTCCAGCCTCAAGGGTGCAGGACTGATGGTGGTGCTCGTCCTCTTCTTGGCAGCAGCTTCTGTGTGCTGCTTCTCCTTGCTCCTGTCCCCTCTGGGATCAGGAGCTGCACCGTTCCGTTTCACTTCAGAAAAGGGTAAAATCCCTGTCCTCAAAGCATCACCTTTGCCAGTAAAGAAACAAGGAGCCTGTCCCACAGTGAGTAGAAATGGAACTGGACTACCACAGCCTATGAAAGCATACCCGAGAATCTCAGAGTGATTTGGACTGGAAGAGACCCTGAAGATCATCTCGTTTCACCCCTGCCATGGATGGGCAGGGACACCTTACACTAGACCAGGATGCTCCAAGCCCTGTCCAACCTGGCCTTGAACACTTCCAGGGATGGGGCAGCCACAGCTTCTCTGGGCAACCTGTGCCAGGTCCTCACCACCTTGGGAAGAATTTCTTCCCAATGTCCCACCCATCCCTGCTCTCTCAGGAGGAAGCCGCTGCCTCCATGCCCTTGAAAAAAGTCCCTCCCTATCGTTCAGGCTCGCTCCCCATGGGGTAGCCCCCGGTTGCGAAGCAGCCTTGGCCAAGGCCATGGGGTTTGGTTAATGTTTATTCACCAGCAAGCAAGGACCTACTCGCTGTCTCCTCCACCTCAGCTGGCCTGGTCTCACCGAGCCACTCGCAGTCCTTTACTGCAGAGGTGCAACCTGTCCCACCATCACCCCTTACACCGCACAGCCAGTGGCAGGGAGCCATGTGGCCGGGGCTAGGGCGACCGGAGCTGTGTCCGGGGCCGAGTCCGAGTCCAGGGAGAAAAGTGTTTTATGTCCTGACCCCACTCCCGGGGCCCCGGAGCAGCGTGTCCGGGGCCGGGCGGAGCATCCCTCCTCATCCCTCCCCATCCCCGACGCCGTCCGGCCGAGGCACCGCCCGCCGGTCCCGCAGGGCCGTGTGGGATCTGTAGTTGTCGGCGGCGCCGGCGCAAGCGCTGCCGCCTCATCCCTCCATCCCTCCATCCCGCCCGGCGCTCTGCGGGGCCATGGCCGCCCGCTCCCTGCGGCGCTTCGGGACCCTCCTGCCGCTCTGCGGCTCGGCTCGGCAGGGCAGGTACGTGGGGCGGAGTGGGGCGGGCTGGGGGGGACCCGGGGAGTCCCGCTCCCGTGGAGGGCTCGGGGCAGACGTGGCAGAGCCGCGGGGCCGGGCCCGGGCAGGCGCCGCACCGGGGGCGGGAGCGGACCTGAACCTGGACCCGGACCTGGACCCGGACCCGGACCTGGACCCGGACCCGGACCCGGACCCGGACCCGCATCCGGACCGGGTCTCACCCGGACCCGCACCCGGTCCCCGCCGCTCGAGCATCATCCCCCCGGGAGGTCCCCGCATCACCACCCAGACCCGCACACTGCCTTCCCCCAGCTACTCGGCAGGGCCTGGAGTAAAATTAAGACTCCGATAATGAAGTTCTTTCCTAGGAAAATATGACTTTTTGAGTAAAAAAAAAAAAATCAATTTTAATTTTTAAGGAAGAGGGTTTCCGCGCTCTCCGAGTCACGTTGTGTGGTGGTTTCCTGCCACTGCGGGTGATTTCTCTGTCTCGCCCATCTGAACCATTTATCCATGAACGACATGTTTAATGCGCTTCCTGGGTTTTACTTTTGGTGGTGAGGCAGCACCCCTGCTATCAAGGTGTTTTGGGTAGTCACAGGAAGACAATTCATGTAACTGTGTCAATATTTAAGCAGAAAAACAGTGCCCAGTCACGTTTTTGGACATCACGATATATGGCACCATAAAAATGCTTTGGGTATTTAGGTGAAATGTGGACAGGTGAAGTGAAAAGGAAGAAAGTCAAAATGCTTATTAGTTGTTTTTTTCTCCAGAAAAAAACCACCACCAAAAGACCATTTAAATGCAATAAAATAATTCTGCAGAGTGTAATAGAAGTAAATGTGTTTGGGACTAAATGGAAAGATGTGTGTCAGGAAATCCTTCCTCTTTCATGTTCCCTCATATGTGTGAAAACTGGTTTGCCCCTCCTAAAATGTGGACTGAGTGTGAAATAGGTGACTGATGGAGCTCAGCAGGCTTCTGTTGTGGAGGATCCTGGGACCTGCTGTCGGTGTGAAGCTTCTCTTTGTACACAAAGTTCTTTGTGGCCTTGCCTGGGTCACTCCCAGTGGGAACAGCAAGGCAGGGGTGGTGGGGCCCAGGCTCCCATCCTGGGACTCCTTACAACCTGGACTGGCTTAGTCTGGTTTAGGGAGCCTCCTGCCCAATTTACAGCCATCCTGTGTGGAGGTGCACTGTACAAGCTTGTTCTCCAGCTTCATTGAAGAAGAGCCCACATAGTGTTATAGAATCAGAGAATATCCTGAATTGGAAGGGACCCACAGGGATCACTGAGTCCAACTCCTGGCTCTGCAGAGGACACCCCAACAATCCCATAATGTGCCTGAGAGTATTGCCCAAACACTCCTTGAGCTCTTGGTCAGCCTTGGGACCGTGACCACCGCCCTGGGGAGCCTGTTCAATGCCCAACCAACCCTCTGGGGGAAGAACCTTTTCCCAATATCCAGCTTAACCTTCCCCTGACACAGCTCCAGTTGTTCCCTTGGGTCCTGTGACTGGTCACAGAGAGCAGAGATAGGTGAGGAAGCTGAAGACTGTGGTGAGGTCTCCCCTCAGTCTTCTCCAGCTGAAGAAGCCAAGTGCCCTCAGTTGCTCCTCATATGGCCCATCCAGATCCTTCACCATCTTCATGTCCCTCCTTTGGATGCTCTCTAACAGCTCTAGGTCTTTCTTACCTTGTGGGGCCAAAACTCTTCTCAGGACTCTGAGGCCACCCCAGTGCAGAGCAGAGCAGGACAATCCCTGCCTCGAGTGGGTTAGTCTCTGGTATCACTCAGTGATGAAACAGAGCAATGGAATTGGGAGTAATTAGATTTCCTTCCAAAGCAAGCTCATCAGAGAAGAAACACTGATGCAGATGTTTCTGTTCATCTCAGCAGTTGTGTGCTTTGTCATGTTGATTTGCAAGGAGGGAGGAGTGTTTTATGAGGGGTGGGGAAGGACCCTTGTGCTTAGAGAGAGCATGGCGGTCACTTTTGGATGTTTGGGTATGGTGCTATCCTGCCTGTGCTCCAGAAAGAGGTGATACTATTGTATATCTGACCAGAGACCTGTTCTCATCATTTAAATTCTGATCTTTAAGGACAGTTGTCTTAAACCATGTGGCTGCAATCAACTTCTCTGCTACATCTGGTCTGTTTGGCTTTCTGTGACATCCCTTTGTCAAACTTTTGGTATCACCAGCTTACTTGTGTAACCCCTTCACACGCCCTGAGACTTCCACGTGTCTGTCACTTAAGGATGTGTCAGCTTCCTCCCGTGGGATTTCTTCCTATTTTTAGGGCAGCTGTGATCAAGACAGTGTTTAGGAGATGGAACAGAGTCAGTGGACAGGCTGTAAATAGCACTTGCCCCTTCCTGTGGAGTATTTTTTTCGTCCTGAAGGAAGAAGTAAATTGAGTGGCATTTTCAATCCTTCCTAAGAACTCTTCCTAAGAACTCCCTTTAGAGCCAGTCTGTGGTTCTGGTTTCTTGCCTGCAACTTCTGAGGCAGGCTCATCTGAGCAGCACGTGATACCCGGGGCATGTCCCTGCACGGGGGAGTGTTCTGTGAGTTGGTTTCACAGGCAGGAGAGAGGAGTCCATGCAGGGAGCTCCCTGCTCCACGTAGGCAAGTCCCTGGATGCTGAGGCACCGGCTCATCCCTGCTCCTCTCCTCCTACGCTCCGAAACACACCCATTCCTGTAGAGTAACTCTCTTGCAG